TGTAGAGCAGACTCAAAGTCGTCTTGTTCTTGTTCATCATTTAACTAAGACCAAATTCGATCATGATATTGTTGCACTTGGTATTGATTCAATAGTAATTATTAATGATACAGATAGGAAAGATCTTTCAAATCCAGTAATGAAATGTGAAGGAGTAGCGTACATAATTTTCACTAGTGGTTCAACTGGAACACCCAAAGCGGTTCGTTCACAGTTAGTTTTCTAGTTTGAGAGTGATTTTGATTCTGTTTTATAGGTTCAAGTGCGACATAAGAACTTTATTGATTGTATACATTCTTTCGTTTACATGAACTTATTTAATAGAGGTGATACAGTTGTACAAATAGCACGATGCTCATTTGATATTCATGTCCAAGAGATACTTGGTATATTGTTGGTTGGAGGCGGTTTGATTATGCTTCATCCAGGCGGAACTATTAATTTCAATTATTTAGCGGAAGTCTTTCAGAAGAAACAAGTCACATACATAACAGCTGTACCAAGTTTACTACACATATTTTTTACTTCTATTCTACAAAACAAGAACATGAATGTTGTGAAAAATCTTCGGACACTCTGTGGTGGCGGTGAGTGATTTTCAAAGCAGTTTTGTCCGTTTATCGAATGTATTTTCTGTATTGTAGGTGAGGCCTTTTCCGTTCATTTACTTGGCTTGATAATGAAAATCGGTATAACGAACTGTACAGTATGGAATGTGTATGGACCAGCAGAAGCAACCATAGATTGTACAGTTCATTGTATCAACGTTACAAGCACTGTACAGAGCATTCCAATTGGTAGACTACTTTCTAACTATCGATGTATGATTATGAATCAGTATTTACAATCAACTGTTACCGGTCGAGGAGGTGAGCTGGTTGTGGGAGGAGCAGGTGTCTTTGCTGGCTATTTTGGACGTGATGATTTAACTGCAAAAGCTCTTCTTGAAATTGATGGCGAGCTATTTTATCGAACAGGTGATCTTGTTAAAATGGATAATAATGGTCTTCTTCATTATCAAGGAAGAAAAGATTATCAAATCAAACTACGTGGACAACGAATTGAACTTGGTGAAATAGAACGATGTTTACTTAATATCACATCAATATCTGCTTGTGTTGTTATTAAGTGGAGTGATGCTCATTTAGTTGCATATGTTCAAAGTTCGGATGTTAATGAACAGGAGTTGCGTGAACATTGTCAATCTCATCTTCCACCACATATGATTCCATCTTTCTTTACTATACTTGACAAGTTACCTTTGAATGCAAATGGAAAAGTAGACAGAAAACAACTTCCTTCACCCGACTTTTCTTTATCAACATTTTTATCGTCTGATAAATCTGATACTCCTCTCAATCAGTTCGAAGAACATATCCATGATATCTGGCTTCAGATTCTTCCATCTTCCTTGACAAGGATTTCAACCACCGTGAACTTTTTTACTATTGGTGGTCATTCACTTTTATTTATTGAACTCTATTACCGTTACCAGCCATTATTCAATTTCGGCGCTGATTCACTCTCGATTGCTCTCTTTCTCCAGCAACCAACTATTCGACAGCATGCACAACTACTTCAGACACTTTCATTCAATGATACGCATACGATACGATGGCAGCCACTACATATCAATCAAGGTAAAACATCTTTACATGAAGAAGCATCCGTCAAATATATAAATCCACTGATTTCTCTTGTAGACATTACTTCTTCTGCTCAGAAGAACATCTTTCTCGATGAACAAGTCCAAATTTCACATGAAACTGCTACCTATTCGAATTTTTTCGAGCATCCGTTTGTTGTGATCAATGAAAATTGCGATAATATTTTGTTTGTTTTGCCGCCTGGAGACGGTGGTGCCGAAAGCTACTTCAACAACATTGTGCCTCATTTATCGCAATATAAACTGGTAATATTCAACAATTACTATCTTGATCTTCAAGCAAAAAATATGGAAAAAGGCTTCTCTTTCGAGGTATTAGCTCCTGTATACACAAAGTATATTAAAGAAATCCAACATGATGGTCCATATAACTTTTTAGGCTGGAGTTTTGGCGGCGTTTTATCGTTTGAACTTTCTCGCCAATTAATTAATGCTGGCGAGAAAGTTGGTAATATTTTTATGATCGACTCATTCTTTAATGTACGCAAGGCTTCTTTTGAAATTGGCAAAGCAGATAAAGTGGATATTATCGGTTCAATAAACTATTCTTATTTACCGATGATAGACAATGAACTATTTGGATTAAATATAACCAACAGAAATACAAATATTGTATTATTTAAAGCTAGCAGGATGGATGAAAACTTTCCATTGAACGATCAGTTAGAATTTTTTTCATACTACACCAATACATCATTTAATAATCTTGACACAGTAGTGAATTATAAACATATCCAGTTATTTCAAATGTATGGCGATAGCCATTCCTCTTGGTTATTTAATGAAAAGCAAATTCTCAACATGTGCAACTATGTAGCGAATCTATTAAAATAAATAACAAATAGAGTAAATGTAGTAATTTAGTAGTCAATTAACTTACAAAAAAAAGCAAGTTTTTAGTTTATTTTAGTTTTGTTTGCTATTAAACGTATTATTTTGAAATCATCAATACATACGTTTTCTGAACAGACAATAATCGTTTTAGTTTGGTTCTTTCAATTTACCTTACTTTTTGTTAGTTATTTTTCATTCTTATTAAAGATCGAATAAATATCGGTATTATCACTTGTGAAACGTCATAAACAGGATTAAATAAAAATAAATGAAATACGTGCACTGTATCACTTAATATTAAAGAACTACTGTCCACTCTGATTTTAATGTATTCATAGTATCGTTATCTTTCTTATTACTGTTAAATTTTAATTTAAAAAAGGCATATATTTTTGCACAGTATTTAATTAAGAATACTTATTATTTTTTCCATCTCATGTTCAGTATGTTTTGCTCAGTGAAATATTATTTTCTGTACAGTTTATAATTCGAATAGTACAGTAATCAATTCTAGAAAATTCAGTAGGGTGTGGGTGTCGGTGTGTGTATATCTTATTCATATCTAAACCCACACCTTCTATTCTATGATAATTATGAATGTTGAGAAATCTGTGAGAACCTTAAAATCATCATTTTGATATCAAGCTTCGCATCGCATTTCGTAGGCGAGTGAAACTCGAATGTCGTCTAGTTTCATATTCTCTCTGATGTGTTGTAAAGAATTTTCATGTCTATAGAAAAGAACGAACGAAAGATAAGATGAAAAGTGTGCCAAAAGGCAAACTCGGCATATTATATATATATCAGTATCATGATAATATTATGGTTATCGCATTTCTTTCTTTTGATTAAAGTGCGCAAAGGTGGTTGTGAGAGTATTTAAGCAGTTTTCGAACTATATTTAGACAAATATATTACCCAAGACAATATAAAAGAATCTGAGTCAGTGATATACAGAACGGCGTCAATTATGCGTATGATCATGATAGAAACTCTTTTGTCACTACTATTGGCATCATTGGTTACTCCAACCGTCACGGTGAACAACAATACGCCTATTGCTCGAACACAACAAGGTTTTTATATTGGTCGCCAAAAAATAGTAAATGATACGAGTATCAAGTACTGGTACGGTGTACCATATGCTCAACAACCTATTGAAAGTCGTAGGTGGATGCCTCCTCAAGCTCTTCCCAAGTCCGATAGCATCAACGAGGCAGTTTTTCCTAACGCTTGTCCTCAGAAGAATGAAATTCCCATCTTAATGACTGAATCTTGTCTCACTTTAAACGTATACGCACCCGAAGATGCAACTAACTTGCCTGTGTATGTTTGGATTCACGGAGGTAGTTTTACTTCGGGAGCTGGTGTAGAATACGATGCGGGTCCATTCGTTAGCACAAGCAAAACAAATTCTGTTCCCGTAGTCGTCGTCACGATCAACTATCGACTTGGTCTACTCGGTTTTCTAGCAGATCAAGCATTGTATGATGAAGGATCAGGTATTAATAACAAAAGCACTACCGGCAACTATGGTCTATTGGACCAGATGATGGCGTTAGATTGGATAAAAAAAAATATTCATGGTTTCGGTGGTAATCCGGAACAAATCACGATCGGTGGCGAGAGTGCAGGCGGTATTAGCGTCACCATTCTGCTCACATCATCATTAGTTACTAATGGTACCTTTCAAAGAGCCATTATACAGAGTGGTGCTATATGGCCCAATGCTGCAAGCCCCCTACAACGTGCTATTAATAGTACGGGCACTGTTTTACGGACTGTGACCAGTTGTACTACAGTACAATGTCTACGTAGGTTAACAGTGAAGGAAATTCTCGCTGTTCAGCATATTATAGCATCTAAAAGTATCTTTGGAACGGCCGCCACTCCAGTTATTGACGGTTATGTCCTAAACGATATAATGGAAAATAGTTATGCCAAAGGAAACTTTCAAAAGGTACCCATCCTGATTGGATCGAATAAGAATGAAACGTCCTTATTTACATGTCCAATTTTTAATGCGACGGCTAGTATCACACAGGTTCAAACATTCTTCAACACGGTATACAATACTACTATTGTTAGTGAAATTCCTATCATTTACGGTTCCATTTCCGCCTATGATAATCCATTAACTTATCTAAATATAGTATATAGTGACTCTTGGCTACACTGTGGTTCTCGTCGTATCGCTTCCGAATTCTCTAGGCATGGAGTGCCCTCTTATTTCTATACATATAATCATCTCATACCGGTTGCACCATCTTGTTTTGGTGTAACGCATGCTGCCGAACTTCCCATGTTGTTTCCATCACTTCTTCCTTTTATGTATCCCCACTATGCATTCACTCCATTGGAACAACAACTATCTACAGACATGATGCTATATTGGGCTAATTTTATTCATACATCAAATCCTAACTACGTTGGAAATCCATCACATTGGGATGCTTATCTTGTCTCCTCTGATAATGACTTTGTTCTAGATATTTACCCACAAATGAGAAATGATTATTACAGTACTACTTGCTCGCGCTTATGGGATTTATATGCTGTCACAAACAATACCTTGGCATTCTCTGCAGCAAGATCATTAATGAATAGCCCTATCTTTTAATACTTTGTCTTGTCTCTATTTCAAAATTTGTGTTCGTGTCAATCTAAATAATTGGAAATAAAAATAACTTCTATATACGTCAAAGAGACACGTATGAAATGGTTAGAAAAAAAACTTGCTTGTATTAATACATCACAGAGAACAAATAAAGATTTTGCATGAAAATATATCCTACTTGACATTCTTTTCCCTAGACTATAAGTGTAGAGTCTAGAAACGGGAATTGATCTATCTACACGTGTTGCTTTTGTCGGTAATACGTACAAATGACCGCGTAACTATGACATAAATAAACGAATCGTTCTAATAGTACTGATCATTTTACAATAGACTGGTTAGTTATAGTTCAGCTAAAGTTTTTAGTAGTTTACGCAATATCAATATTCCAAATTATCTGAAAATTTTTTTTTGTTTTATCAAATGATGAGAAAAACATACAATCTTATTTTCTTAAATAATCTTTTGTAAACAGAAAACAGATGTCTTATGTTTTCTATCCCATTAAATCTAATTAAATGAAGTTTTTATTATTAATTGTTATTTCTGTTACAAGTATTTTAACATTATCAATACCTGTTCGTCGTAATACAAAATTCCCATTATGTATACCAGATACATGTATACAGGAATCTGCTTTATGCTTTTGTGATCTAGAAGATACTCCAAATGATCCATGTCGTAATTGTCCAGCTGATTTTATTGGTCCAGGAATATCATTTGAAATAGGTCCAATGAACTTTTTTCCATTGGGTTTGAGTACACTTAATTTTACATCTATTGGTCGACGTTAATAAGATAAAAGATCTTATTTTATTTATATATCAGTTAATTAGTAAAAAAAACCTTCACTATGGAATGTATTCTCAGAAGAAGAATATGAGTACCAATATTTTTTTCGTGTAACTGATGAATTTTCTTCATTTAAAATAAAAGACACTCTCAACATGTTTGTTGTTTTAAATGAAGATATTCAATAACGAATATTTTCATTATATTTCGAATATGTGTAATTAATGGAAAATCCAGATTAACTTCATTATCATCAGCTCGATGCCATGTCGGAGGAAATGGTACAGGGATTAAATGAATAATTGGAACATCTACAAATATATATATTTTTTTACAAAAAATTAAATGCTTCTTTTAAATTACCATAGTTTAAAAATGGAATATGATCATCCTGATAAATACTATCTTGTACCATAGATGAAAATACTGGTCGTTTATATCCATTATTATTATAGGAACGTAAAAGTTGAGTTTCTATATCAATAATATAAATCTGATATGTTATTCTTTAATAATTACTAACCAATATTTCTTAATCTATTATAGTATTTGCCAGTAGTTCCATCAAAAAAATTAGTAAATTGAACGTTTTTATGTCCGATTAAGTCAAGTAACACGAACATATCCTAGAAAGATAATTTTCTAGAGAATAAAAAAAAATATATGTTTACTATTGCATCAATTTGATTTATATTCTGCTGTCCTTCGACATTTGTATTACGCATTTTAGTTGCTAAATGTCTAAATTAAAGAATATTTCGAAATAGATTTGTGAAATTCGATTATCTTTACCTCGATCCATACAATGAATCAGTTGATGTCCAACTTCTGACTGCTTCTTCTCCATCAAAAAAAAGTAATTGCAAAGCTGGATTTCCTTTCTAAGACAAATAATAATTTATTTTTTGAACATTATCTTTTTCTTACATTTCCTTTTAAATCATTTAGTTGTTGTTAAAGACTAAGCGCTATATCAAGTAAAATAGCACAAGGTACAGCACTATCTGTTGCACCAATAAAATTTGTAAGTTTTTTCGAATCATAATGACAAGCAAGAACAAAACGACGCGTTGCTGTTGCATTAAGTGTAGCAATTATATTTGTAAATTCAACTTTACCATCCTATAATAAACCCATTAATTCTATAAAATACAAAAAAATCATTTGTTTTTTTAAATTTTACTGGTGTCATAGCATCGAATGTATCCAAGTCAATATTCCACATATTAGTCGATCGTAATTTAGAGACAATATGTTGTTTAGCTTGAGCAGCACCTGCTGTACCTGATACTCGTTGAATTAATAATGGTTGAAGTACTTTACTACGAAATTCATCTGAATTATCGATTATTGATGAAAAACATTGATATTGGTTAGAATTTATTTCACGTTTTACCAAAAATAATAATATTTCAAATAAAAGCAAAAGAGATTATATTGTAAAGAATTAGTCATAATGATTTTTCATTATGCGTTTTTTTTCAAGTTATACAACTTACACGTCGTGTTTGTACTAGATGACTCTTATCACATAATAATAATATTAACACTATTGAGTAGCTATTTATTAATGACATCTAGAATATATACATGATAGATTATCTTATTTAATATTATAAAATATCGTCGACAAAGCATTAATTCGTATAAATGATTGTTTTCTTTTTCTCTAAGTTAGCATAGATTTTCTTTCACGACAAGTTAATCTGTACAAATATTGTCGATTTATGACTTATGATATTATGTTAATTGATACGTTTATCCTCTATTCGACTTTTATTGTTTATTATTGTTTTAGTAGCTACACAAAAAAATCACATTTTTGAAAACACGCCCATATACCATAATTTCACGTGTTGCGATGTTGAAATCATTCACCGTAAAAAATACCCTCAAGCTACGTTTTATATTTTATTTATTCGTTCGTAATTATTATTGACGACATATGCTTAGATAATGACTGCATACTAGTCACATTTATTTGATCAAACGATATTTTTTTTTATATTTCGTCAATAATAATCATGAAACAATAAATAAAGTATAAGAAGTAAGTGGAGGATATTTTACCGTTGATAATTTCAACATTGCAACAAAACAAATTATTCTTATCAAACAAAAAGGAATAAATATATATATCTTTTGTTTTCCGTAGGAAATGAATACGTTTTTCACTCTCTACAAGCGAAAAAATAAGTTTATCTCTTGTTTTTTTTCTCGTAAATTCTTCTAATAAATATTATTGAATAATTTCAATTATTTAAAAAAAACTTGTACATCTTGTTGGACAAGTTAATTTTCTACATATGATTTATTCTCAAAAACTCGGTTTTGTGATTAATAAATTGTGTTAAATATTACTGAACATCATTGTTGAATATTTTAATCTTCCATTTATAGAATAGAAATAGAAACAGATACCTATTTTTTAACTAAATAGTCTCGACTTATCTTAGAATGAGCTAGATCAAAACTCTTTTCATATTTTTACAAAATATATATTTAAATAATAAGTTAAATATTCAAAATATCTGATTGATGATTTTATTAATTATTGTTTAAACTATAATAATATATTCATAAAAATGCTGAAAGCTGTAATTTCTCTTCGATATATATTACGGCATCTTATTTTACATCTACAAAATAGATTTCATTCAAGTAGAATTAACATTCACTAATCAAGCATCATTTTTTATTACATATAAAATCATTTCACTATTTAAATACACTTTCTTAAGTGTCTCATGTAATCCAACATGTTCGCAGATTGGTTGTTTATATGAATCGAGGTACGTACGATAACGTTTTCCTTTCATACTTGAGTATCGATAAAAAGTCGCACCAGAAAAACATGATCGGACAGGTACTAAATCGATACTACATGGATAGAGTCGAAAAAATGACGACCATATTTCATTGTAAATTACACTCCAGTTTTGATTCTGTTCATCTTTGTGTGCATATGGATCAACATATTTTTTACGACCGAATAATACATGATTATAAACACCGTTTGCACAAATTGCATCGATAGTTGGATCTGTATGCAGATGAAAACCAGTTGAGAGAAATCCATCAATATAGGTATACGTGACCAAATCAAAATCTTGTACGAGAATATATTCATATTGTGGTAGTTGAGTGTTATCTTCGATATATTTCATATAGATATTTCGTAGTTGAACCATCTTTTCAATACGTGATTGATCCGGAGGATGATCGGCGGCAGTACGAGCTAATGATAAGTTGCATGGACGATCATCATTAGCTTTATTTCCACATCCAATAACATGAATTCGACCAGCAACTTTCTTATCTTGAGCCCAACGAATTAATTCACGTCTTGTTCCATCTTTTGAATCGTTCTCTACAATAATAATGACATAATCAGCAAACAGGCCTGTTATCTCTTCGATTTGTTGACGAATACGAGGAATCTCCATTTCATGATCACGTACCATTCCACAAATAATAACTCGACTACGTGCTAGATGTAGACGACCAGATTCAAGTCTAGTTCTATTTTTGTGTGAACATTGTAAAGATCGAGGTAGAAAAAAATCATAAGTAGCCGACAATTTTGAAGCTTCAAAGTTAATACGAGGAACAATAGAATATGCAAATAAACAAACTCCAGCGATCAACAGAATAAGAAGTGCCCATCGACGACGATAATAGAAAAGATAAGATTCAGTTTTATCCATTGATTTCGAGAAATATTTTGACTAGAAAATATATAAATATGTTTGTATCTAAAACAATACGATAAGAGAAACTTACAATACGAAACATTTTAAAAGAAGATGATCGTGTGATTAATAATAACAAATTTGAAACTAAAAACTCTAGTATTCAACAATTACATCAACTGACTCTCACATGAATATTCGAATGACTGTCTTATTAGGTACATCATGCCCCCGCATTTTGAAAAGAATAATTTGTTTGTTTGAATGAGAAAGAAAGTAGAACAAACTTTATTTTATCTCCATAACATCAGAGTTGTTCTCTCGCAAGTTTGATATATTTTATTGTAAACACTCAAATAAGTAATGAAAAAGACGAAAAATTTGCTGTTCTTCTACTTCGACATCAAAATTTTATGTGAAGAACCGAATGTTACCGCTATTTTCTTTTACTATTATTCATATCGAACGCAAGTAAAATAATCAGAGAATAAATTGTACAGAACTGAAAAGAGAAAAGAGGGCGACCTTTTTACCGTTCATAATTTCCTTTTTGTCGTCTTTACATTCTGGAATTAAATCACACGATAGAATACGAACGATAAAGAAAGATAAAATAATCACTGTTTCATACATCTCATTATAGTTGAAAGAAAAAAAGAAACATAGATTAAGTAAATCATTCAAGAATTCAGTTTACTTTAAAATCTCAAGTGGTTATTTTAGAGTAAAAAATATGAGAAGTTGTCAATTTATATTTTCTATTTAAAAGTGAATTGCAACTTTGTCGTACGATTCAAATTTTAACTGTATTCTGTAAATAACTTTTGTTGTAATCAATCGGTTCGGATAAATTTTTGTATACATTACTCCTTTTGTAGTGTCCTATTGTCACACAAAATTTCAGTTCTTACACGTGTTAAATAAATGAAAATATCATAAATATCAATGAGAAGGAAAAAAGGACATGACTATTTTGTTCCGTAGAGCGTGACATGTCCTATTCTCACCTTTCTATAGTCTGTTGTCCGCAATACGTCGTGACATACACGTAGTCATTTCATGTAGAATGATAATATATTTCATTTTTTATTAAATGAGTACAAGTTGAAGCAAAATGAAGATGTTCAAAAGATAAAGCATGAAGCTAGAAGACAATTGATAAAAAAAAAATTTTTTTTTGTAAAATTTTGCTTTTGACTCACTTTGTCAATGACTCATCAATAGTTCGTTTGCTTTCACTCAAAATTGTACTGTATATTTATTTCGAGGAGATGTAAAACCAATAAGAAGTTCAGCCATCTATCTATCTTTTTCTCTTGTGCAAAAACTTATGTTTCAAATAGAATGTGTAAGGACATTTTTTGCATGGGATATTTTAACCAAAATTAGGACAAATTGAGTCGTACTACATTTGTTTCATTTAGAAAACATCTTCTATCTCGACTAGGAATCAGAACCCATCAGTTTTCTGGAGTTCGATCTGAAGTAAAGCTAATATATTTTTTATTACCTCAGAGATATTTTAAATGTTTGAAAGAGGTAAAGTAACTTTAGTTAATAATACTTCAGATAAAAAAATAAATGAAAAGAACTCAGACGATACGGAGTTTCACTTGACAGTGGTAATCTAATCAGGGGCGATTTCAATACTGCTGGAAATGACGACTACGAATTTGATAGTTCGTTAGGTATCTCCACAATTAAGAATATATCAGAGGTTCATTGCCCGAAGTATCAATACTGTTCGGAATTGATTTAGCCGAGGACTTTATAGGAAACATCTAACTTAAAAGAAGGATATCACTTGTATTTTTCTTTATCTGAGTTTGAATTAAAGGTGACAGTATGTTTAACGGAACAAGTGTCACAGTAAAGTTATCTATAAGTAAAGAGAAAGAGGAAGATGGAGATGAATATTTGAGTCAGAGACAGATATACTAATAAATAGTTTAATATTTTCTGATTTATCCATGTGAATCTTTGGCTTATGAATCTAACGATAGTAAGACCAAATTCGTAGGGCTTTTTGTTTAATTTTCCAGGAGAAGGACTTATACTTGTCAGAGGGAGATTCATCTAACTGATGAATATTAAATTTTAATCTTTATTTCAGATGAGATCTATATACAACTGAATGAAATACAAAAACAAAACAGCGATATCTTAAAATAGATCAGACGAAAACAAAAAATACGTAGACTATGGCAAGGGAAGACAAACGTGTGGAAAATGCCTTGAAATGAAGGAAAGAAAAGAGATATATGTTTATTCAACGTGTTATTTATGTACCTTAGTAGAACAAAAAAAAGAGAGAATAGGAATATATCAAACATACAAGAGTCGCACATAACAATACTTTTAATCCTTTCTAGTTCATATATACTACTACGAGCGCTAATATTTTGCACGAGAAATCGTAGACTAAATTATTTTTTATAGCTCTCAGTAACAGGCAACCGTTGCATTAGTGACACTGATATGCTAAGAAAATATAGTGATCTAAATTGAAAAATAGAAAATCTTGCATTAGATTATCTATGCAAATATTAAATATAGCTAGATATACTTCTTTATATAGTAGAAAAGGGGGAAAAACTTATGTTGATTTACATGTAATTGATATTAGATTTTCATCAAATTCTGACGGTGATAATAATAACATATATGAACATGATTTAAATAAATAACAAGAACAAATAGAATTTTTTACTTTCTTGTAATTTATTTTTTAGATTGTGTAAGGGTGTGGGTGTTATAATCATCCCTTACCCACCCTAAATACGTATCATTAAGTTTTTCTATATTTTTAATAATCAAAACTAATTATATTAAACTGCTAGTTAATCGCGTTTAGCCAACAGTTTGAAACATACCTGCAGACTGACTTCGGTTAACAGATGGTTTTACTTCAGATCTCTGGTTTGAGGAAAAAAAGTATTGCATAACGAGACCTTAGTATATATATATTGTTTTCTCAAACGAAATTTTTTTTATATTGAACCATAAACAGCCAGTCGATAGACTATTGAGTGTGGATTATCGAATTAATAGGCTATTTATTAATGTAACTAATTATTCGTTCCACAGATAAAATAAGCACAGCTGTAAATAATTGCTTTCTGATGATACATAGCTATATATTTTGATATGAGGATGTACTGCAATACAATAATAGATAATTTGATACCATTAGTAATATGTAAAATATTCGAAAAACTCATATGACACTGCTTTCATTTGATTATTACTAATCTATGACAATTGAATAAATAGATTATTACCTTACTCTGTGGAAAAGAATAGAATGTTTTTCATTGTTAAATATAATGCGGATATAATTAAGAAACAAAATATCTGAAGAATTCTACTTTATAAACTAAAAATCAGCATGCATTATTTTTCAACAAGTTTTAATGTTAAACAGAGCATGATCATTAAATCGTGTTTTATAATGTAAATTGATCTAATTTCTGTTGATGTATATTCTTAATCAAATCAAGCAAAATTATAACCACCTATCTGTTGCTAACCTGATCTATTCTTGTTTTCTTATTGACCATCTGCTGAGCTGCTGTATATATAATGCACAAAAGCAAATCAATACAAATGATTTTTGTAATACAGCGAAAAATAATAAGAGAAGAGAAGAATTTAATGATATTCATTTATGTTGTTTCTTGATTATATAAGTACTTGCCTAATCATTAACATATCACCTTCGCAAGTCACTATATCAAATTACAAAACGTATACGCCTATTTTGACGTAATGACCTACGAAAAGTATGTTATATGAATTCATATAAAAATCTTTTCGAATATTTAATTTTACATAAAATGACTCAACTAAAAAATTGATATTAGGATGATGCTACAGTTTTAGCAAATTTACGTGATTGTTTTTCATGATGGTAGATTTATGTTGACTTATTTCGTGTTATAATTAATCCATATAAGCCTTTATCAATTTGCACGATGAAAGTTGTGCTTGCTTATTGTGATAAAAAAGCCGTTCGGTTATGATACAAAACATATGTTAAGAAAACAGACATGATTTTCAAAAGAAAATTATTTATATATCTAGGATACATAATGAATAAAACTATGAAGAAGTGTTTACAAAATATTTAAGATATAATTAAATATATTATCACATCAAATTATAATAGCAATGAATATCAATTATTTTTCTTCCCATGATGATAAGTAAATCGAATTAATTGAAATAAATTGTATATTTACTCGGTATTGAAGCAGCTGACCTTATTAAAGGATTATTAAAATCTCAAATAAAAATTCGAAGACAGTGTATGACTCGTATCAGTCAAGAAATCCCGTCATACAAAAAGTTTTAACCTGCCCGTTGTTTGTTTCTGCTTCTCGCTCACACACACGAAGTTTTTATACATCTAGTAGCACCATCTATTGTTGGAGAATGTGAAAGAAGAGCTTGTAACCAAGTGATTTGCAGCAGAATGTCTACTATTTCTCTGTGATTTCTTCGATCAAATGGCTTATTCTAATCGTCGAGCGTCACATGATGGTGGATCTAATACAACGACATATCCAACAAAACAACGAACTAATTCAATCGATAGTGGTGTTGCTAATAATAAAATAGATACTTCTCGACACCTATCAGTTGATGCGTCTTCAGCATGTCATGTACAAGCAACAGTCATTGCACATGGTCCATCTGTAGCATTTTTTGGTAGTTGTGTTATTGATGATATCTTTTATATTCATGGTGGAGTTAAAACACGTGGTGATCATGCACCATCAAATCGAATGTTTAAATTTCAAAATAATACATGGACAGAAATAACAACAGAAGATTCTCCTGCATTATCTTATCATCAATGTATTGTCATGGGACATGGTCAATATATAATTACAATTGGTGGATGGGATGGATCAAAAAGAAAATCTGATGTTTATGTATTTGATGTAGCAAATACAACATGGCATCAAACACATGCACCAGGATTTCCAAGTGGTGGTGGTCTTAATAATCATGCTGTTATTCCATTTAAATCACATGATGCTGGTATTCTGGTAATTGGTAGAGATGGTAGTTTAAGAACACAACGTAAACATGGTGATGCATATTGTCTACGTGGAGATCCAGCAAAACATACTTTTCGGTAAATAATTACTGAATTAAAAAGAAATGAATTATTTCTAATCTCATTTTTATAGATGGGAACATTATCCAATAGGTGTTGATTCTCGTAGTGGACATTCATTAATTAGTCATAGTTCATCATTATATATTATCGGTGGTCGTGCTGATCATTTAATTCAACAATATACTGGTGTACCTGTGGAAAATCAATACATATGCAATAATCTTTATTCTGAACTTAAAGAAATGATAAAATCAAATGTGATAAGTCCAATGAAAAAATTACCATCTACTCGAAAAGATCATACAAGTATTGCATGTGGTTCTGATTTAGCAATTGTCTATGGTGGTGAAACATTCGATGGTAAATTACGTGAACCATCAAATGAAATGTTTGTTGTTACACTTGATACTCATCAACATTGGTACAATTTAGGACAAATTGAATTTGGTAGACAAGGTCATGCTATGATTAGTCTTGGTGATCAATTAATTGTTCACGGTGGTCTCGGAAAAAATGGAGTTTGCAATGAAACATTTGCTATTGATCTTATTAGATAGAAACTTTGTTTTTAAATAATTTTTATTCACGCAATAATAAAAAGATATATATAAATTTTAGCAGAATATCAAAGACATTAAGTAGATAAATAAATGGCGGAATGATTTATGGAAAAAAAAGTAGAAAAATCAAAAGAAAAACATTTTTCATCCAAGACGAGCATTGACATGTGATTCTGGCTTAACATCACAGACAAGTTCTAGGATACGTTCAAGTAAATTATCTTTTGTTGTTTCATATAGATCTTTTAATGAAACTATTTTAACTTGAGTTTCTTCATTTGATTTTTCTGTCATCTGTGTTTTATTACCCAATTGCTAAACAAAGAATAAGAAAATTACATTGCGAAGAAATAAAATTAAACTTACTTGTTCTTCTAAACCTTTATAACGTTGATCACGATCTCCTTTGAAATGTTCAATTTCAGTTTTAGCTTCATTTTGAGCTTCTTTTAGACGTTTAGTTTTACGTTTTCGAGCATCTTCAATAATAGCTTGAGCTTCTTTTTCAGCCGCAAGTAAATCGGTAATACCACGTGATTGAAGCATCTTATGTATTAACTAAACTAATCTGAAATAGTCAATAAAAAAATATGGGTTATTTTGACCTAAACAACTAAATGAATGTGTTTGTATTCCTACTAGCCACTATAGTATGTCTCCGAAACATACACTCGTGGTTTCTCTATATCAGTTATTATAAGAATAACTACCCAAGTTCTATGAGAAATGAGTTCGTTTTCGTTTCCAATGAAAGAAGCAAATGTTAGAAAGAGTGACAAAAGTGGTTAATGGTACTTCTTATCTATCTATGACTATGATTAAAAGATAAAACAGAACGTCGTCACGTCAGTATCAGATAAGCAGTTTCTGATTGGTGTACAGTTTTTTTCACGCGATGGTGGCGCTCCTTCTGAATTTTATAAATTAAAATAATTGTTTATTAATTCAAGATATCAATTAATTGATTGTTTTTCATGTTTTTGAACTATTTTTTATCAATTGATGTTACATTTTATTTACATGCGGAGGCTGGAGAGTATCGACATTCGATGGCGACAGTCCATCTATTCATTTTATTCATTTTTAAAAACAAAATCATTTACTAGTAAGATACTTAAAAAAAAACGATATATTTTTTTTCTTCAGATAATATGGGTCGAGTCATCAGAGGACAACGTAAAGGTGGTTCAGCCATCTTTAAAGCTCGTACTTTCCACCGTAAAGGTCCAGCTAAATTACGATCTTTGGATTATGCAGAACGTCAGGGTTATTTACGCGGTGTCGTTAAAGTAAAAAATCCAATCTAAATATTTATTTTTATTCTAATATTTTATTTTAATTTAGGATATTATCCATGATCCAGGTCGTGGTGCTCCACTTGCTGTTGTACACTTCCGTGATCCATATCGTTACAAAAAACGAAAAGAATTATTAGTTTGTGCCGAAGGCATGTATACCGGCCAATTTATCTATTGTGGAAAAAAAGGTAAAAAATATAATTTGAAAATAACTTGACTAATTTTCTGTTTAATATTATTAGCTTCATTAACAATTGGCAATGTAATGCCATTAGGCCAAATGCCTGAAGGTACAATTGTTTGTCAAATTGAACAAACCACTGGTGATCGTGGAAAATTAGCTAAAGCATCAGGTAATTTTTTTCTCCTGAATTTTTAGTATTAAATATGATAAATAAATAATTTTAGGCAATTATGCAACAATTGTTTCACATAATCCTGAAGGTGGTAAGACAAAAGTTAAATTACCATCAGGTGCCAAGAAGACTTTATCATCAACAAATCGTGCTATGGTTGGTAAGTATCGAGATCTATATATGCAAAATGATGAATGATAATCTCTGATATTCTAAATGATTAGTAAAATATATCTAGAGGCTTTTACTGATTGCATACAAGTTTAATTTTCATACAAAAATTTAACGTTTTTTTGTTATTTCTTCTATCTAGGTATCGTAGCCGGTGGTGGCCGTATTGATAAACCAATCTTGAAAGCTGGTCGTAATTACCATAAATATAAAGCTAAACGAAAATCATGGCCTAAAGTTCGTGGTGTTTGCATGAATCCCGTTGACCATCCATTCGGTGGTGGTAACCATCAACACATCGGTAAACCATCAACAGTCAGTCGATATGCACCACCCGGTCGAAAAGTCGGTCTTATTGCTGCTCGACGAACTGGTCGTGTACGTGGTACAGCACAAACGAAAGAAGATTAGATATAACAAGATCTATTTGCCATCTGTTTTCGATATACACATATATTACACACAAGAAAATTTATTGATTGTTGTTACTGTTTTCGTTTTGTGTACTTATAAGTATCATCAAGAATAATAAAAAAAAAACTGAAACAACAACCGAAACGAGTTTTAGTTATATCTCGGAACGGCTTAAATTTTACATTGATTTTATTAATAAATCTTTGATTAAAATAATAATTCTATTAACAAAAAGACATATACATGTACTGATCATATACCTGTTGAGTTTATATATTAACTGAAAATAGGATTCAGAATTGAGAGTTATGATCATTTTATTAAAATTTCAGAAATTGGTTTTCTGATCTCAGTTAGGTATGTGACAACTCCAGTTCCGCTCAATGAGTCGGAACAGTTCTTGTTCAATTCAGTTGGAGATGTTAAACAGTTCAGTTCATTTGAATTGGAGATGGTCACCAGTTCATCGATTCAGCTCTCACGAACTGTTGAGCCTGAGTGGTCACATACCTAATCTCAATCAGTCCTACAAATAGCTAAAACAGGAAACTGAACAATAGTCAGCATATAGGTGGCTTGTATTCAGGAAATTGATTGAACAAATGAATTGTAATTTTATATAAAAGCAAAATCAGATTATTAGTTGACTATTGAATTGTTATGAAACCAACTCAGAAAATACGTTGATATACATGGGTAGAATAAAATTATTTATATAGATTTTCAAATGTCCCAATAGTATATTTACAAAAGAAAAAAACATATTTTCGAAGTAAAGCATGTCTTCAATAATGATGATTAAAATTCGCGTAATCTATTTATAGATAATCTTTATAGTGTTTAATCATGTGTGATCTTGTCTTATGTCAAACATTTTACTCCTTAATACTTAATCAAAAAATAATCATAAAGTCTGTGAAACATCATTAATTCCATCTTTAAGATTGTTTTGCATTCAATGACAACATTTTGTTATTCGTCTCTTCTAGTTTGATCGAAAACAGAACAGTTTACGGACTGATTTCATAAACACGAACGTTAAGATTATTCTGACATACCGAGAAAATGAACATGTTGAATAATAAATAAAAGTCAATTCATTCGACAGTAAAAATCATATTTCTTTCCCAATTTATATAAATGCCATGCATGTTATATCATGTTTATGATATATTCCTCATAACATCGATGGGCAATTTATAGATACCAATGAAAATATACATCAGTTTTATGTGAAATATTCTTGTTGAATAAGTTTATATTCTTATTGAAACGCAACTCACGCATATATGATTTCAAAAACGCATCTAAATGCTAATAAAAAACAAGAAAGATATTTCAAAAAATCTAGCATAGAAAGAAAAAAGAGATGGCATATAATGTAAATCAATACTGATACGAAATAAGAATAAAATATTTACATCATAATGGTAATCGAAACCAAATTGAACAAGAAAAACTTGTTGATTACCTACTGTAAAAAAATTGATTGTCGTTATTTGCAATGTTTAATATGATTATGAATGCAGAAAAATAAATCTTTATCTATGTTTTTCACATTTCTTTGTTTGACTTTCTACTCAGTCATATATAATTAACAAATAATATGCCAGACGCATGATTTTTTCATAAGTTCCAATGGGAAATCTTTAATAATTAAATAAATTTTTCTTTGATAAATGAATCTGCATTTTTATACTGTCAATTACTAGTTTCATTTTGTTATGTTTAAGAAAAAAAGCTTTGAAATTCATTTGAAATAAAAAAACAACAATAGGTTAATCTAATCTTGATATGGTTTTTTTTTCTCGAAAATTCATTGACTTCATTTCGTTTTATGCTCTCTCTTCCACTGATGTATAATACAATGAACAAAAAAAAAAAGAAGAAATTCAAAATACACGCTTGTATATAAAGTCAACATTTTTTCGGGTCTAATCAACTATAAAAAGAAAGAAAGAAAAAAGGGGTAACCAGTTAGAGAGCAACTTCTTACACATGTTTGTTTGCATATAAATAAATTTACACCATAAATACGTGTCCATTTCATAGGAAAATAGATAATGAAAAAAAGAAAAAACGCGGTTTTTTTGATTTCGTCACCGACACAGTAATCAATACTGTTCTAAAATGATGGAACACAGGAATATTATCAAATAAAAGACAAAAAAGAAAAAAAAAGATCATCGCAAATTGTTCAAATATTTAATTTTATGCAAGAACTAAAACAAATAAAAGATTTTCAATTGAGAGAAGTAAATATTTTGTTTGTTTATACCTTCATTTCGTTGGTGATATATCTCCATTAGATACATTCTTCGAACATTTAGCTGCTAAAGTTGAATAAGGTTCTCCATGAAGTAAAAGACATAATACAACTGTCATATTATCACAACCAAGTCCACCCATTTGACAATTCGGTGCCAAACAACGTGTCATTAATTCTTCACAAATCTAATTTCGAAAAGAATTTATTGATTTTTCAAATTAATCAATATCTATTTACAGATCAATATTAAATATCTCATCAGAAGAGTAATCAATGATGTAAATAAATATGCAGAAGAATAAGTCAAATCTACCGAGGGATTTCTCTCGCTATCATATAAAATATATACTATCAGGACAAAATAAGTATACTATAGAATAAGCCAAGAAGTAACATATTTTCTAGATAAAGTTTTAGCTGTGATATTCTTTGTAAGTTTGAAGTTCATATGAGATATCCTTATATGAATAGAACTAAGTAAATAAATCATTCTCATACCATTTCTGGTGTCATTTGTTGAGCGACTCGTGTTCGAACAAATTTTAAAACTTCTTCATTACTAAGCACATCCCATATACCATCACAAGCAAGTAATATGAATTCCCAATCTTCAGTAATTGTTTTTGTAACAACATCCGGTGCCGCTATAAAAGAAATATTTCATTTAATCAATATATATATATATATTCGAATTTTACCAGTAACAACTTGTTCTTCTGCTTTTTTATCCGTATTTCGTTTAAATATAAAATCTCCAAGTGCTCGAGATAAAGCCAAATTTCCTAAATTAAAAAAATAAAAAGTAAAAGAAAACTTTTGTTATGCTGATTTTTACCATTAACACGATTAAATTCTACCCAACCACCAGCAGCTGTTATACGTTTTCGTTCATCATCATTATTTGGTTTATGATCTGTTGAAAGTGTTTCAACATTTCCATTAACCGAAGCAATTGCTCTACTATCACCAACATTTCCACAATAAAGTTTATTATCTTTAATAATGACACTAATGGCTGTTGTTCCAGCTAAATCTTCTCTCATTTCGTCATCTGTAGCCATTTCTTTATCAAAATCAAGAAAACCTTTTCTTATAGCTCCTTCAATATTTCCTTGTTCTAAAAAACAGAAATTAATTAATCAAAAAAACAAATGAATGATAAAATAACGTACTAAAATCCGGTTGATTAGCAATGCGTGTATGTAGATGTTTACATGAATGTTGAGCAACTTTCGCTCCTCCATGACCATCATAGACAGCTAAGAAAGCAACACTTTTATCTTCGGGTAATGATAAAATATGTGTATGTGCATCTTCCATATCTAAATTTATATAGATTTATTTAAAAAGATTTCATAGAAAAGTTTAACTTACTAATACGCCATCCTTGCATACTACTACTTCCGACTGAATATAAATGATTTTCTACTTTTTGAGAATCTTTTGAAGTTACAGGTTCTAAATTTAAAAATTTTTTACATATAAATTTTCTTCTATTTCTTTAATTTTAGTCTGTTTTACCAGAAAGTGTTTGACCCATTTTGTTTTTATTTTTTTTCTATTTTGTTTTTGTTGTATACACTGATTACATAGTATTAATTGACATAAATATATATATATCTAAAATGTGTAATCAAGAATTGTTTCACATTGAATCAGCAGGAAGTTTATTTTTCCTATTGACATTAGAGGTATATGAAAGTAAAACAGAAGAAAAAACGATAAGAACGTGCCGATATTACGTATTGTCTTTTTCACATGCCAGCAGAATAAAAATCAATCATAATAAGATCGATTATGTATGTAGTTAAAAAAATGTTGTTTTTTCTTTCGTTCAGCAGTGATTGATTGGTTTAAAGGATTATTTATTTTTAGGAGGAATTTTGAAAAAAAAGAATGAGAACTATAGCTTATATTTTTGAATAATATTTTATTGTATTAATAAAAATTAGAATAAATATGAATCTGTACGCGATTATATATAATATTAAAAAAATCAAAATTTTATTACTTCTTAATAGAGGTCACTAATATATGAAATAGATTTTTATATTATAATCGGCATTAAAAGTTGAAGGTAAATGAATAGTGGCAAAATTAATCGTAGTCTCGATCATTCGAAATAAGATTATTATATAGAATATGTGATAAAATGAAGTTTTAATTTATCCTCATCAATGGCGAGCTATTTTGATACAGGATTAAATTTTTCGCGTTTTTGAGAATGATCGATAAGATGAATAGGAAATAATTCAATAATATATTGATTTCTCATTGCTTAATCAAGAAAGAGTCTAGAAAATCTATCAAGTTTCGATCGAAATTTTTACAAATACTTTGTCGTTAATCTTCAAATTTGCTGGTCGAATAGTACACCATAGAAGGTTTTGATTTCTCAGTATACAGATCTGAAATATTAATTTTCTGGAAAAGTGAACCTAACACTGTCTCATTGTAGTTATAGTTTAGACAGAAACTGGAGTGCAAGAAAAATTCAGTCTAATAAATTCTAATCTATAATGTTAAGGCTAGAATAGTATTGTACTGAACCATAAAATAAACACACCTTGCATCTATAATTTTATTTTACAATGACACCTAATGCAGATGTTGCATCATCAATGAAATTCGTCATAGATACGAATAATGCATTACAATGTAGAATGTCAATATAAGTTGTCAACTCATTTATTACATATTTACAAATAATATTCGACACAAACATCCACTCTCTTATATTATTGAAGAAATAAAATGTTTGATTACATTGTTAAAACATATTACAATGAGATGAAGATCTCTACTCTTCTATCACTCATGTCTCTAGTACTATTTAAAAGTGGTACTCATGATTCATAATAATACGTTATATAGTAACAGAATAAATTGTTAAATTTCGAAAAACAGTAGTGTATAATACTTTCTTATCTTAACTAAATAAAATCATTTGATTTAATCTATAGTAAGACCAAAATGAATAATATCGAAACAAGTATATTGACAATAATTATTTATTTATTTTAAACTAGTCTATCATGTCTGCTCGACAACAAAAAAATAGTTGTAAAAAAAAAGGAAAAAGAAATAATTAAATATAAAATTCTCGCTGGTCATCTGCTGTTAATAATGGTGATTTTTTACGTTTGCGTCGTGAATGTGATTTGATATTAGGTTTTTTTGTTCGAGATTTTGTTGAATTTAATCCTTGTTGATTATATTCACCGGGTGATGACGGTATTTCAACAATTAATGGTCGAAATCGTTGTGTCTCTTCAAGTTCATAAACGCCTGCATCTTTTCGACGATATTTCATACAAGCACAGATACATAATATCATACAGAATACAATACTACATAGAAAAAATATAGCAAATATCCAAATATATTGCCAATAAAATTTATCTCGAAATCGATTTGTATCGGGTGTACGAATTGAAACAATTAATGCTGGAATATCACTAAGATTTGTTGAATTTAATATATGAGAAGTTAATAGTTGATAGGATGTTGTTGAAGTTATTACGGAAGTTCTTGATGTTACTTTAATTGTAGATCGAGATGGTATTCGTTTAGGAAGAGATACTTGACTTGTTACATTCGAATATGATAATAAACTTGAATTTGTATCAGATATTATCATACAAATATCATCATTTGGTTGATATGGACATGATGAACGCGTAAAATCATCTTTGATTCGATACGATGGATAAATAATAGGTGATGAAAAAGACAGCAGAGATGTATTTCGAACAGGTGTGAATGAAATACGTTGGAATGTTTGTGATATTAAATCAAATATAGAATAAATATCAGATTCAAGACCATAGAGTTGACCCTGAAGGAAAAATAGAACAGATTTAAAATAATATAATGCAATATCAAATACCTGAAATGGATATGTAAATATTGGATTTTGTCCAATTAATAATACCAATGGTTTATCAAATACTAATTTATAATTTAATTGTTTTATTACTGCTTTATTATCAACATTTAAAGATAAATATCCTGTTATATCATATGTAATTTGTATTAAATGATAATAACCATCATTAATCAAACGATTATTATCTAAATAATCATTTTCATTTAATTTAATTCGTATAAATCCATAATATATTTCAATAGATAATTGATCATTTATACGTATAATTTCAGCAATATTCATTTTTGTTATTATTCCAAATGAAATTCTATATAGTAAAAATTGTTTTTCTTTATTATATGGTTGATTGAATACTAAACCAGGTGTATAATTATCAAATGAGTAACCTAATTTAAAATTTGTACAAAATCTTCCTTGAAAACTTGTATGTTGACAGTTACAGTGAATACGATCCTGACAAATACCAGTATTTCGACATTGTTGTAATGGACATTGAGAATCAAGAAAACAATCATTTCGAATTTGTGTATTTGGTTTAATATATTCACGTAAATTTATTGAATGACGATTAATTGTTAAAGATGCAAAACAAGCTTTTATAGTTAATAAATGATTTAAAAAATCGATTTCAATTGGACGACCAATATATATTTTATTAAGAAAATATAATGATGTTGAAAGATAATATTCAGTTGAATCAATTTGTAATTCAAGATGATAATTACTAGCACGATAAAGAGATATATGATGCCATTGATTATTATTAAGTGTAATATTTGATTGAATTCTATAAACTTCATTATCATTTTTAGGTAAGGATGGTTGAAGGATTATTAAATGAAGTTGACCATTGACTAGTTTTAATATAAGATATTGATTATTTCGATGAATTGAATTATTTGAAGACGAACTTGAAAGAGAAAAAGTAAAGATTATGGTTTCATATGAACTATCTAACTTTGATTTTCATTCCGTTATTATAAAAATACCTGAGGGTGGGTAATAGGGCCCGGCGGAACCGGGTTTTTTCATCCCGATCTCGACCGTTTCCTGAGAATACAATTCATCCCGACTTAAAACTCATTAATGCATTTACTCGGGATTTCATCCCGCTCCTGATGGGATAGGGACAGTCCCACCAAACCCTAGTGGGTGATACAGAATACTCACACCCACACTACTTTGTATTATTTTCCTAGATGTAATAGATCAATCTACCTGATTTTATGATTATTATCTGTTCGAATCATTGCAAATAATAAAACACCATTTAATTCTGTTGTACGAAATTGAAAGTAAATACTATATAGTTGACATTCTTGACAAAGAATATCGTTTAATTTTAATTCTATATAAGAATTTAATTGATCATTAAATGAAATAGCATTTAATGGTTTCATTAATCGATATTTAAATTTCATATGTTCATCTTGATTATTTGCGATTAATTTTGAATAAATTGGTTGATCATATAAGCGTAAATCTTCTATTCGAATTTGTTTCTCACCCATAAATACTATCCATATAGTTGATGGTAATGATGATGAATTAAAAGAATTTATATTGACATGTTGTTGTCTTATATGATTATCAATATGTAATAAAGATTTTTTATCAAAACGTTGTAAACGTATTGAATGCCATTGATTATCGAGTAAAAATGGATATTCACTTGTTAGATTTAATAAATAAAAATTCACTTGTAAAAGACCATTAATAATAGAAAAATCAATTGAATCACAATTCGTTGATAAACGACATGCACGAATTTGAAGAAAATTCAATTGATCATGCATAGCCTAAAATATTCAATAGATTTCAATTATCTTACAAAGGAACAGACTAAACTGTCAGACGCCATTCGAGCTCATGGCGTGTTTCTGATGAGATATCAAGTTTTTAATTAATTTTCGCTATAGGAACCCACTTTTGTCTCAAAACTATACTTTCAAATTTTGCCTTGAAACTTTGCCTACGTAAAGGCCTCAGTAAAACTAGCTTGTATAAAAAATTTCAAAAGTTCTAAACAAAGTCTCTCCGAAATATAGAAGTATCAAAACGCAGTCTCTTTTTCATAGATAGTATATATGTTATGAATTTTTTGAAACCTTGGGTATCTCGGAGAGATTTCGTTCAAAACTTCTGAAATATTTTATGCAAGCTAGTCTAACTGAGGCCTTTATGTGGATCAAGTTTCAAAACAAAAGTGAGATGCTATAGTGAAAATTCAATAAAAACTTGATATCTCATCAGAAACACCCCATGAGCACGAATCGTTTTCTTAGTCTCATTAAGTCCTACTTGTAGCCAAAATATAGGCTGGAGCGGCGTCTGACAGTTGGATATATTCCCTCGTTAGTTCCTTTTACCTGTAATCCAAATGAAATATCATTAATATATTCACTCCATTGTAAATTACTATTGAATTCATATGTTTGAGTTTGATTTAAATCTAAATGATATGCAATTTGTTCACATCGTAGCCCTGTATATCCAGTTTTCGAACAATCACATGACCATGTACCACTACTACTTAATTGACATTCACCATTATGTTCACATAAACATTCACGTTTTGTAGATAATATTGTCGAACATGGACCACTTTTTGGTGCTATTGTATTATTTGTATAATTAATATATTTTGTGAGATTAACTAATATATTATTTATTTCAAGGTCGAAAAAACAACCGATTAAACCACGATTCATTATACCAGAAAAATAATTAGTTGGTAATCGACGTGGCAAAGGATTTATACCACCAATTGTTAATGAAAGTAACTAAAAAGCAAAAAATTAATCAAATAGAAATTCTTAGAATTGAATCTATCAAATAACTTACTGATATTTCTGTTGAAATATTCTCAAGAAATATATTTATATCATGTCTATAATCTATTGTAATATTAAATTCTAATCCACCTTGATAATTTCTTATATTTGTTTGAATATAATGTGTTTGTCCATCATTAAAACGTTGTTGAAATAATTCTTGTCTATGTCGTTTTTTATTTGTATTAATTGTAAAATATAAAAAACCATCAATTAAATCAAAACCAAGAAAATCTTGATTCGATTGACTATATAAAAGTATCGAATCAGATGAATATGTTTCAAAACGAAATGATATTGATATTTGTTTCGATATATTTTTTAATTGAAATGATATATATGATGATTGAGTAAGAAATTGTATTGGATTTATTAATGATTTACAATTTTTGTTACGTATTAAACCATATTCATGAATATTTATTGATGATTTATTAAGATCAATTATTAAATTTTCATTAAATATAATTGAAATATCTTTTATACAACCATGAAATTTTTCTATATTTAATTGATGATTTCCTCCAATAAAAATTTCATTAAAACGAAATAATTGATCGATTTTCATATCATTTTCAAATGTTAAATAATGTTGATCAATAAGTATTATTATTTGGTCAGATTTACGTTTAATTTGTACATAATGCCATTGATTATCGATTAAATAAAGATCTTTTGTTAATGATTCATGCCATGAATTATTATTTAAACGATATTCAATTAATAATTGTCCTTGTTTTAATTTAATATAAATTTGTGAATCAATTAATTGAAATAGAAGACCATTATAATGATTTGTTTTAAATTCAAATGTTATTATTTCATTTGAACTTAATATTGAATCTAATAAATCATATTTAAAATATTGTTTGCCTTGAAATGTTAATTCATTTGTTCGACGTTCATTTTGACAATGCGTACCTTGATAATTCGTTTCATCGCAAAGACATCTATAACTATCATCAGTTATTAAACAGATACCAATACTACAATTTATTCCTGAACAATGATGATCTGGAATTAATGAAACACCACCGGATATACTTGTATGAATTGGTTGAATAAGATGAGAATTTGTACAATTTTTATAGATTATATTACGTAATTGACCTCGAAAACGTGGTTGCATATAGACATCAAATGAAGATAAATTTCCTGAGCTTGGTCGTTCTAATATTGCTGGAATACCTGAAAAATATTTTTTTTAATATAATTAGATATCTCATCAATGTCTCCAAAACAAAAAAAAACTCTCTAATAGATATTACTAACAGTATAATCTATCTAGCTATTTAGATAAAACAGTAATTTGATAATATTATCAAAGAATGTCCTTATCAAATTCTTAGAGTGGCATGATTTGTATCATATACTATACCATTGTCTTAGATGAATCTTATCCAAAAGAAGTAATATGAACTTCTTGAGTTTTTTTCTAGAAATTAATTAGACAATCTTTTCTCTAATATTTTTTATTTTGATGTAAGATAAATTGCTTACATTATATATAAGATAGTGTTTGATTCTGATTTCTGAATTATTATAAGTTCTATATATGATAAGCAGAGAAAAAATCAGAAAATTAAGGTTATCTGGAGATAATCTTGCATGCTCTTATCAATGGTTGATATAAATCAAGGTCATCGTTTGTCAACACGGCTAATTTTTTCGATTAGAAAAACTAATCAATCTATTTTCATTGATCCGAAAATAATTTCACGAGACAACTTTCTTTAGACGTCATCTATCAAAAAAAAAGCGGATGAGTCTTGTCAACATCTTTTTCAAAGATCATTTTAAGATAATTAGCGCATGTTTATAGACTAATTTAACATACCCCCGAAATAGAATGGTGATGATTCATATTCATTATAAGTTGCACCACCAAAATATAAATCTTCTGAATGAGTTACTGTTGAATTTTGTGCATAACCATTATCAATACTAAGTGTTGTTGTTTGTCCATTACGTTTAATTAATATTGTATGCCATTTATCATCATTTATTTTCATATTAACATTTATAGCTTGTCGATCACTGCCCAAATTAAATAAAAGACGAGGTTTACCTTCGAGTAATTTTAAATAAAAAAAATCAAATTTTCCACGATCATCAATATATGCAAGTGTACCATCTTTTGAATTTGTTCGTATATCAAAACGTACATAACCTGTAAGACATGGATGCCATGAATCAAATGAAATGTAAGTATTAGATGCTGCAGAAAAAATAAATGTATTTAATGATGATGATGACGGTGATGATAATGTTGATTTAATAAGAATAAAGGAAGTAAAAATAAATAAAAACATTGTATTAAAAGTTCATATCACTGTTAATATCTAAAGATAATTTATTTTGTAAGTTTATACAAACAAAATCGAACTATTGTTTTTTTAATATATATATATATATATAACTGATATATATGTTCATAATAGTGGTTAATTGTGATCATATGGATGATCAAACGAACAGGAAAGAAATTTCTCACGACACTATTACGAGTTGCAATAGAATGAATGATTACGTACTATGCAAGCAGTTGATTTCTTTTTTTTTTCTTCTCTCGTCATTGATTCTTTCGCATGTGGTGCCACAACAAATATTGTACGTACAATATCGTTATATAGAAACAGGAGCAAAGACAAAGGAATTTTTTCAGACGCAGAATAAAAAAACGTACTAGAAGAAGATATATAGACAGTGATGATAGATGAGAAGTGTGAAAGATTGATATGTTGAGTTAAAGGTATTGAAATATCAAAAAGATTATTGACGAGAGATGAGTCTGCTAAGGATGATACAATTTATCCAGTAGAAAGGATTTGCAAATTGAATCAACACAAGTGGCAACCGCGTGGTTGATTGACCATCGTTTTCTTTTCCTTTTCCTCTTCTATCCTCCAAGCTTCTTGTCTATGTTGTTCTAACATAAGTACGGTAATGATGATGATGTTATTTATATGTATATAGATGCCAGGGTAAAAAAAAAGAGAATAGTCAAGGTGTAAATGATTTACAGACGAGCATTATGGAATATGGACCGCCCGTTAAGCTTCATAATATCACATATTTTATAAATAAACAGTACAAATACGTAATCATGTAAGATGTCGATGCTCAATATCGAGCCAATTGTATTTACATATTAAATAAGAGTCATTAGAGCATATATATGTACATAGTCGTGTAAATGTTTCTTTGTATTTTGACATGATTAATAATGAACAATTCATTCATACATTGTAAAAAAAACAATCTTTGTAGTGGCAGTTCATTAGTTAATATATATACGTGATGAAATAACGTAGACAAGATTTCCCAATAGATACTTTGTTGTCTGAATATGTGATGATCATATACATGATATCACAGTACGTTTTTTTGTCAAATACCCAAGTGGCAAACAAAAAAAAATTCTTTATCTATATTTCATATACATAATAATAACGATAATGACTGCAATGTAAATGGATCTTATAGATTGTTTTTTAACGTTAAGAAATCAAAACAAACATAAATCGATTATGTATCTATACTAAGCACTTATCAAGCTATTAACTATCTATTTTGACCCTGATAGAAGCTGTAATACAGAATTACAAGTAGTTATTAAAGGTGTTATCCTCGAGGTTTATTGTCATAACATCTTATTTATTATTCATTAGAATAAGAAATAAGATGAGGAGAAAAAAATCGATCCCTAAAACAATTTCTTTTTTTTTTATCTTTTTTCCTTTTTGTATTACATTCTAATCGATTAAGATGAACAGAATGATGATGGTGATGGCTCAAGGCAATTGAAGAAAGAAGAAATAACCTTGACAGTAGCCTTTTTGCCAAACGGTTAACAATAAAGAAAGAAAAAAAGAATTTTGTTACCAAATATATCAGTCGATCATATTGAAAATAAACAAGTATTTTGTTTTAATAGTTAAAAATGATGTATAATGAACGTAATTATATACGTTATTTTATTAATCGCATAGAAAGAATGAGAAGCTTAAACGACATACAATTTATTTATTTATAGAAATACATTTTTCAATATGATTTTACATCGAATGATACCCTAAAGTGTATAGTACTATTTAACTACATCTAGTATCATTTATCATCATCAAAAATGTCATGATTTGCCTTCTTTCTTCTTCTCATAGAACTTTATTTCCTATCATGAGTCAATTTTTTCTATTTTTAATCATTCTAAAAATAGTTACAATTCGATAAGGATCATTAAAATGTAAATAATCGTCTGGAAGTATATGTCAATCGAATTCATCCGTACGTGTCTATAAATTATCTAATCATAATAGTTTAATTTTTATAAAGAAAAAAAAGGCAATTTGATTGTTAGTAAGATAAGTCTATGCACTCCTTTTCTTTCATCATCAAAATCAATCAACATTAATATATTCATGCGACAGTTGTAGTGGTACTCGTTACAATAACAGATGCTTATGAATGTATATCAATAACACATAATGGTATTTGATGTTGATATTTATAGTTATTTAATGTTTGTATTAAGCGTATTTTTAGTTATAATTGATCATTGTAGATGTCTTAATTTTCATGAAAGCTAATTGATGTGTGTGTGTGGCTTTTCAAACAAATATTATTTAAGAATTCTTAGTGCTTCACCATAATTGACAGCCTACTCAGCTATGGATATCATAGATACGAGTACTGCTCGTAATGCATTTAATTGTATATTTATATGGACAAGTGATTCACTAGCATCAGCAACAACAGCTTCAGTTACAAAAACATAAAATCGATTGCATAATATTCTTTCCTAATAGTTCTCTCTCTCTCTCTCTCAAGAATATAAATAGAGGTCATTTCAATATTTACTATTTATTCAATATTCATCTATTACATATAAAAATAAATTTACAATATTTTAACAATTTTCCGTTGTAATTATTGATGTTGATTCAACTAGAATATCATCATAATCATCACATGATGATGATGTTGTTGATGAAGATGTCGACCAGTATTGATGCATACGTTTCTGAAAATTTTCAAGATAAACACGTTGTTGTTCAATAAATTGAATTGTACTATTTGATACATCATAAATCAAATCACAGAAACCTTTCATTATTATCACACGTTTCATCAATAAATTTGGTATAGTTGACATATGATTCATGATCGACTAAAATTTTCATTAAACAAATATTTCAATGTTGTTAATTTTGGCAAAAAGTTTTTCATGTTCTATGTCTTAACTAAATATTTCCAGAAGAATTATTTCAACAGTCAGATTTAATCACTTGATGTACACCTAACTCCATTCGATTTACAATATAGTCTTCTTTTACATACCTCTTTCTTTCGTATATAGTATTTCGCTATACATTTAGCTAATTCGACAACTGTTTGTAAATCTTCAATTTGTGACGCTAATGCAATACCTTTACAAAAAAATTTACTTAACAATCTTTATCGAGATTCTAAGAAAGATATTTACCATAATGTAAATCTTTACAAATTCCAGGTCGTAATATATATGAATAAATAATTGTATTTTGTTCTTTCAGTTGATCAAGTACTGTTTGTGGATGAAAACGACGTAAACGATTTGTTGAATCACTTTCTACATCACTAGTTAATTTTTCATTATAAATAACATCAAAATGATAATTAGCAACATTTCGATATACATAACCAACAGAAGTTAATTGTTGAAAATGTGTGGATATAATAACAAATGCTTGTGAACGACATAATGTTTCTGTTATACTTGTAGCTAACGCAAGACCTAAAAAAAAAAGAAATTATATTGTTTAAATTAAATTTATTTACCTTCATTTGTTGATGTACTTGAACATATCTAATTGTGAAAAGCGAATAAATATATATTTATTTATTTCATAGAATATTTACTTCGTCAAGAATAATCATTGAATTCGATGTCATACAATTAAGTATAAATGCAATATGATTGATTTCAGATGAAAATGTCGATTGTCCAGTGAATAGATTATCATGTTGACGAATTTTGGAAAAGATTTCATGAACCTTAAAATTAGTTTATTTAAATCAAATTCAAAAATATATTCAACTTACAATTCGAAATCGAGCTTGTTCAGCTGGTACAAAACACCCTTTAAATAAATAATTAAATCTTAGAAGAAGAAGAAAAATATATCTAATTACCAATTTGTGCTAAAACTTGTAATAGAGCTATTTGTCGAAGATATGTTGATTTTCCACTCATATTTGGTCCCGTAATAAGATTAATATTCATCTCTGGACATAATTCAATATCATTTGCAATTGGTTTTTGTTGACCAAATAGATCAATAATTGGATGACGTGCTTTAATTATTTTTGTATTTATTCCAAACATTGGTCGAACATAATCACGTGCTTTAGATACTTCAGCAAATGATTGAATCATATCAATAATAGATATAGCTTCGACTAATTTGTACATACAACCAAAATGTGGTCGAATTTTTGAAAGAAGAATTAAAATAATTCTAAACAAAAATGAAATTAATTATTGAGAATGATATTCTTAAACAAAACCGATTGCTAGTGTTCATTAGAACTGAGAAACGAATTCAAATCTATGATGAATAGTTGTATCATTATTCATTACCTTGTGGCAAACAAAGAGAGAGAGGATAATTCAAACTTGAAAAAAGATATGAACTTATACATGATTGACATTGAAGAGAAAAAGCATTCATTTTAAGGTTAAGTATACTTATAAATATGCAGGATAGTGAATCAATTGACTTTAGTCGAAAGTAAAAATGTCGAAAGGCAAAATATCGAAAATAAAAAATGTCGAAAATTTCGAATATGGGTGTGACTGTGATTATTATATTAATCACATACCCACACCCAAACCCTCAACACTGCTAAGATCTTATTCCTATCGTTTTTAAACTTTTCGACATTTTTACTGTTCGACGTTTTGCCTTTCGATATTTTTAGTTTCGATTAAACTCATACATACCGTGGTGGGTGAGAGTGTATTAGTATGGACTACTCTTCTTTCACACCAACACCCTCATCCACACCCACCCTCTAATCATTAATCAGTACCTTATTTTAATCGTACTATAAGTTTTGTAATATTTAAAAATATTTATATGCTCTTACTGATCTGTTAGGAGACATATATCATTGTATAAAAGTTCAAATCGATCTGATAAATGTGCTAATTGAAGTGTTGTTATGAATGTTGATTTTTGTCGTTTAGCTACTGAAATAACATTTGCTGGTAAAACACCTTTAAATTCACCGATAATTTCCAATGAAAAACCACGTGTATTTGTTAAATTATATCGAACAGGCATATTGAATCGTTCTGAAAATTCTTTTTCCAATGCTATATTTAAGAGAAATATTTAATAGAATAAAAAATATAACGATTATATATATAAACTTACATTCAACATCATCAATAACAACAATAACATCAGCACGTAGGCTATCAAGACGTTCATCAAAACCATTCTGAAAGGAAAAAACGATACAAAATTATTTGCCTATAAATATATATATGTAGTATTTACTTTCATGGCAAAGATTCGTCGAATTTTTGCACCAAGAAATCCATTACTTGAAACAGTTTGTTCTGTTGTTAATTGTGAATTGAGAAAATCAAGTATAATTTGAAATCGTTGATCACCAAAAATCTACATATTTACTTTTATTTAAGACAAAAATAAAAAAAATAATTTACCGAACAAAGATTTTTTAAAAGATCACATGTTGATTGTTCAAGTGCTTGTTGAAGTGTAGGCAATATATCAAGAATACGTCGAAGTTGATTTATCATTGTAATACGTTTTTCAGCAGCTGATACTGTACGACCTGGATTTTCTTGTATACACGCAAGAATAATACCTAAAAGATACAACAATAAAAATATTTCGTAACAAGATTTTTCTTACGTTCAACATCAGTAAAATGTAAAAGTATTGTTTGTATTTGGAACATTAATTTTTCATCATCAATTAAATTTTCAACAGCATCTTGTCGATAATGAATTGAATTCAAATCTATAATCTCTAGTTTATTTAAATAGACTTAAGAAAAGGATTTTTTTACCAATTAATGGTTCCATTAAATTTGCTCGTAATGTTCGACCACCCATTTTTGTTTTTGTTGCTTGTAATATACTGTAAAGCGATTGAAAACCTGGTGCTAATCCACATTGATTCGAAGAAGCAAAGTCGACCAAAATGCCTTAGAAAAATATTTAATGGTCGACTAGTTGATCTAACCATCTAAAAGCAAGGAAATCTTTTTACTAAGACAATCAGTATACATAAAATACATATATAATATATATAAGAAGAGAGAGAGGGAAATTTCGAAATTATTATTTATCACAAAACAAAAAAGTTTTTATATCATTAATTTAAATCACATTTTGATTTTTTTCTAATTTTTGACGTTCTTCAGTAAAATACTTAAAAATTGCATCAATAGCTGTATGTGATGTCCATTCATGTATTGTATGACCTGAAAAGTTGATCATAAATATATATGCACAAAAAAATATTTTAGTTTCAATTACCTGCTGATCGTAATTGACAACAATCACTATCTCCTAAATCAGTATCCACTTTTTCGGTATCAGTAATCCAATTAATCGTTTTCTTTTAAAAGATAAATTCATTTTGTTCTGCTTTTTTTTAAAAATTAAACAAACTTTTTTAAGCATTTGTAAAACTTTTTTATTAACTCGTCGTCCATAAACTGTCATAGGTGAATCTGTTAATGCTATAGCAAAAACACGTTCATTGAATTCTTTTAGAAATTTAGAAGCCTAATAATAAACGAAAAATTAAAATTTAACTAATAAATCATATCAAACCATTTCAAGTACTACAGCACCACCATATGAATGTGCCATAATACAAACATGTTTAGCATGACTTTTACGAACAAAATTATCCCAAACATAACATCCATGTTCTTCAGCAGTACTACTACCCTAAAATAGATTTGAGTATTAGCAAATTTGCCTTGCGCAAAACTTGCTCGAATACGATGTATTGTATGTCGACGAAGAGATCGAGAAGGTTGATAATCATTTAAATTAGTATTAGTAACAATAACCGCATAGCCAGCGGTACGAGCTCGTCGAATATATTCAATTTGAGAACCAATTTCTAAACCTTCATTGATTATTAATCTATTTGAAAATATATGAGAAAAACAGAATTAATTAAATAATATATTACTTTCGAGACCATTGACCAGCTCGTACAACTCCTGTACCATGAATAATTACCATAAGATAATCAGCTGTCGATAAATCATTGCTTATAAAGATAAAACTTTTTTGTTCATCTCGTTTGGCATCGATCTTTAAAAATGCACAACAATTGTATTTTTATTCGAAATAAATAGCACATACTGGTACTGAAACACGTTGTAATTGACAAGTACTTTCAAGTAGATCAAATATAGCATTATCAACTGATCTACCAATTGATTCATATCGTTTTTGATTCTCTTCCGCATCTGTATATACGTTAAATTTAAATGGTTCACCATTTGCAATCGAAACCAGTTTCCCATCTATTGAAATAAAAATATTAGGTACATGTTTGACATAAGTTGAGAATAAAATTTCTTATAAATGATAGTTAGATTCATGAGTACTGATTACAGATCTATTAGTTCTTATGTCGCATTCTTAATCTCTGTACAGATCATTTGTTTTTCAAATAGTTTTACTTTTAAAATGATATCCATATCCTTCTAATGAATCGTATTCAATATGAGTGTCTTGAACATTTTTTGTTTTTTGAGTTCGTTGACGTTTTGTATTATCTGTTGTTTCTAAAGATAAAAGTCTTTATAAGAATAAAAATAAATCAATTATCACTCTTAACCCTTATTATCATTTAATTCACTTGAACATGCTCCCATCTTCGATGCTAAAATTTAGTAAAAGCATGCAATTCAACGAAAGAGAACGGAAGAGAAAAAAATTCACACACTTTCACGGTTGTTGACACGTGTTGATACTATAGAGAAAAATAAGAATAAGATCGATATATATATATTCTTTATCTTTTAAATAACACACACCAGCTTTTCTTTTCGTCATTTCAATTTGTCTAAAAGAATAAACATGCAATTCATATACGAGCATTAATATATATATGCTGACACAGTCATCAATTTATTTCGAAACAAACAATAGTTGTAATATATGTAGATATAAAGGAAAAAAGAACACAATATATAAAAAAAGAGAAAAGAAAAACCATTTATTCTCATATTTACTGTATACAAAAAAAAATCTTATTGCAATCGAATTAAAAATATAAATATACATTCTCATTTGGCATCATTACCAGCTAACATTTCATTTATTTGAGCTTCAAGTTCTTCAGCAGAAACATTCTCTAATTCATCAGCTAATTCTTTATCCCATTCACTTTCATCTAAATCTTTACCAAAAAACAAAAATAAATATTAATAGATTAGAATAATATCATCTTACCTGGACTACCTGATTTTGTTTTTGGTATACATAATTGTTCAATTTCACGTCGAATCTCATCCATATTTATATCTGATGTATCATAATCTTCACTTAAAAAATCTTGATTAACGTCCGACATTTTCTCCTGTAATTCAGATGTTCGACGTTCTAAAATAACAAAAACATATCTGATTTATTAAGTGCATAGATGATGAATATTTATTTACCTCCATTATTTGATGAAAGATGTGTTTCATTATTTGCTAAAATATTTCAAAAATCAATAATAAAAATGTACATAGAAAATAATTACTTTTTTCATTTGCTAATGCCGTTAATTGTGCTGAATTTTTTACCAAACTTACACGATAAAAATAATTACGCCAAAATGATTCTTCATTAATTCTAAATATATTAATTTATTATTCACTTTCTCGTGGAGAAGAGTCCAGTAACAATTAATTGTTTGCTTGCTTATCTGTCCGCAAGGTCAAAAAAACATCGAAAACTGATCTTTCAAAAAAGACATTTCT